ATTTCATGTGGTTTTATGATAGAAATGTATTGAAGATTAAAGTATGGAGACTAAATTTTGTTAAATTATGGTCAAGTAATATTGATGAAGCTGCCTGGCACAGACCTTACACTGTCGCACATACACACTATGTTATAATCTTCTTGCTCATTTCTGTTGCTTATAGCAGTGGTTGGAAGGAAAGTGTGTAGTGTGGTCATCTCACTACACAACAGTGTTTCCATCAGTGACTATGGCAGAGCATATTGAATCTTCATGAAATTTTGGCAAAAGCTTTGTGATGCCTGCACATAGACGTAGGCAAAAGTTTCAGAAACTGTATAGAGAGAGGAGTGTATTATGAGTTGTGGATATGAGTGGTTCAAACATTTCAAAGATGGCAGACAAAATGTCAGCAGCACTGCATGTTCTTGGAGACCCCACAACCAACAGAACTGATCAAAACATTGTAGATGTACATGAAGCTGTTTGGAAAAACATTCAAATCACTGGGCAAGAGTTGTTGGAGTATATGAATATTAATTACAGTTCAGTTCAGTCCATTATCACTGAAGATTTGGGTAGGAAACAGGCGTCTTCCAAGTTTTGTGCTAAAACTGCTTTCAGGTGACTAAAAAGAAAATTGGGTTTCAGCTGCGCAGATCATGTGACAAGGAAAATGAAAATGTTTTTAAAACAGTCAAAACAGATGACAAATCCAAGTGTATGTGACAAAGCTGCTTGCTATCCCCCAAGAGGAGTTCCAGGAATGGTTCCATCAACAGAAGCAACACTGGATAAAGTGGGTGGCTTCAGAAGTGGGCTATTTCAAAAGAGATTAAATGCCATACTTTTTAATCAGACCTCACACACATATATATATATATATATATATATATATATAAATTATGAGTTTTAGATATATAACTAAATAATGAAATAGAATTGATATTAAAATAATATTTATTTTGATATATTTTCTCAAATAAATAGGAAATTTCTTATCATTTGGCTGTTTATTACCTTCTTCATTGGGATAAAATGAAGAGAATTATGATGGGTAACAGACCAGCTTCACAAGCCATTGTCAGTGAGTTCATTACTCTCTGAATATTTTACAAATGCAACACAGGCCCAAAGTTTGCACATGGCAACATTCTATAAATATCCATTTCAATATCATTATTAAAACTTAATAAATATATTTTTAGAAACATATATGCAGCTCCAAATAAGAGTTAATTAATTAGATAATTAAAAATAAATAATAATAATAATAATAAGCCTTCAATAAAAATGTAAACTGAATATACAATACCCATAATTATATATCCATGGGTAAAAGATTAATTTCATAGTAAGAAAATCTTATTAAAGAAATAAACATTTCAATGTCTTTATTTACATCATAGTCAAGTTTTATCATTTTTATGTAGAAACTCATAGAAGAGAATTTAGAAATAAATCTGTCATTATGTTATGTACAAGGGGAGTTCTCAACATGATCCACTTCTCAAAAATCAGTTCTTTAATGACCAAACACCAGAATACAGATTTTTGGAAATCGGTTAGGCTGAAAACTTTTCAGTTGGTCCTCATTATTATCGCTACATAGTTTTTTTTATTGATAAATACTAAAATATATATCACATACACAGTAAATTCTTATCTGAATTTTGCAAGACAATGTTTGTATATAGATTGGCTTATACTAATTTTCTTCTTTTTCGTTTCCTTTTGTAACATTTTATTTATGCATCCTATGATCTTTCTAGGGTATTTGCTAAAAATGCAACAAACACCTGAAGAAGGCCAGATACTACACAACTGAAACAACATGAACAAACAAGATGAAAACAAAGGAAGCAGTACAAAACCACTTACAAAAAGCAAATGCATTTGATCAGCAATAACACTTATGATAATCTATCAACATATTACAATGCAATGTGTAACCATATATATATTTTGTGTGAGTGTGTCACACTTTTCATAGAGAGCACTGATCCTTGCAAGAGACACTTGGGTTCTCAGCAGAACACACAGAATTCCCAGTCGATACATAAATAATCTTTTCATTTTTTATGGGTACAATTCTAATAATAATAATAATAATAACCACATGTATGCATTTCTGCAATATTCATTTCCGTTGATAATTAAAGTTTAATAAATAATATTGTACCTAGTCAATAATTGAAAGGTAACTATTTGAGAAAATAAATAAATCTGTCAATATTAAAAAGAAAAAACATCTCGTGAAGTTCAATCTATTTCAGAATAAATTTGGTTTCAATTAAATTTGAGATGTGTTATTATTTGCATTTTAAGATGAAATTGAAGTAAATCTCTCTCAACATTTATATGATTACCTTTCTCATCTGAATATGACCATTTCATAACTGAAGAAAGTTACTTTTCATGGTTTTTTTTTTAACCAAATACATCACTCATCTTGTAAAAAAATCCACAAAAAATAGACCAGATAATCTTAGGAAAATTAAAAACAAAAAAAAAATACGTGCTAAAAATCTGATTGAAGATGGCTGAATAATGGATCAGCTAAAAATTTTGAAAAATATATTAGTAAAAATAAAATAATATTTTTTTCCAGATTAATGCATTATCTGTAGTAAGTAAGAGTTTTCTTTTGTACAACTTTTTTTATTATTAATCTAATGTGGGGTTTTAACTATTTCCCATGTTTAAAAGATGCATAAAAATGTAATGAGAAAAATGAGTTTTTGGGGTTTTTTTTAAGTATCTGATCAATCTTGTAATTTTATTTATAAATATAGATAGATAGAGGATATGGTGAAACAGATTTACTACAAACAAATGGAATGAGGTCGTGAGATAGGTATTATTTTACAATCTGTTTTAAAAGGATGTGGAAATGCCTGATAAAGAAGACATAGCCACTGAAAGACATGAGGATAACGACGTTTTATTCAATGCATGTGATGCTTACTAAAGCACGTGAACAGTTAATCAAGCAGGTAGACAAAAAAAAAATCATTTTTGATGTGTCTTCAAAACCGCTGTTACTTGCTACACGCGCACCACTAAGTTTTTAGGCTTTAATTTTACAATTTCTATGAAAATGGATTTAAAATATTTTTCTAAATCAAAATAAATATACATAGGTATATATAGCATTTTATTTTTTTTATTCAACAAACAAATCCTGTTTTTTTTTGGTTGTTGTTTTTGTTGTCCTTATGTCTCCTTTCTTCACGGAGTTTTAATTTTTAAAACGTTTTAAAAAACATTTTTATGAAATCTTAATTGGTTTATTTGTCTGGTTTCAGGTTTCTGGTTTAGTGATGCTCTTTATCACAGCCCTAATAATTGCCAAAAAGGGATTTAATTTTTTAAAAATAATTCCCTTTTTGCGGTTCCTCTTAGTCTTCTTCTCTATATCAATCATGCGCTTGTAAAAAGAAATACAGTACAGAGTTCTATATATTCATCTATATACAATCGGTTATCATTCATCATCATAACTAAACCTAATATTGTAATCTATACGTTTTCATTAAGGTTACTTACACTGTTTCCTGATAATTCGATCGGTGTATATTCCGACCGTCATTAGGTGTCAGAATGAGTGGGTGGTAAAGGTTTTCCAAGGTCCACTCTCTACTAAACACTTTTTAAAAAGAAAATCATAGGTAATTTTAACACCAAATTACTTTTATGAAACGTAAAAATGTGATTTTGAAAATTCATATTGCTAATGACCACACATAAAAGATCGATCTGGCGATTTTTTCTTAATGACGGTGAAGACGGGAACAGCCAACTGGGGGCGGGGGTGAAAAGATTTCATTCTCAAAGACTGATTTTTTTTTTAAACTTTTTCATAAAAAGAAAAAAAAAAGAAAAAAAAAAGAAAAAATTGACCTGATTTTTTTCATAATTCCCAGATTTAAGTAATTTTATAAAGAATTAAATAAATCGGTAAAATAATTTAAAAAATTAAAATAAAGAAGGCAGAAAGATGAATCAAAAAAGTACAATTGATGACTTAATTTTTTTTTTTAAATATTAATTATTAAATCAGAAAAATAAATGCAAGTAAAGAAACATGTTTCCTCAATAATGGTGACAATAAAAAAAATATTAAGTTCGATTCTTCTGGACTTTAACAGAAAACAATTTAAAAAAAATAGGAATAATAAACTACCTTTTTTTCTAAAAAAAACATTTTTTGAATTTTATAATAAATCAAATCTGTACCAATGATATTTTTGCTGCTTTTATTTATTTTTTCTTATTTTTTAAGTGCTTGTCTTTTGAACAAAAAAAGGTATGGAAAAAAAATAACCTTTAATTGATTTCCTCAGTAATAAATAAACATCATTGTCTTCGCCTGAAAAGGGGGGGCCGAAAAATGGGGGATCTTTTGGCTGTTCATGTTTACATGAAAACAGATCCCCCATTTTGTGGTCATCTGCGCGTATTAGAATTGGTGGAAAAGATGAGAAAAAAAAATAAACATTTAAAAACGGAAAAATATTAAAAAGGATGAATTTATTTCCAAGAACCTTTCTCAAAGTGAGTAAAGTAGTAAAATGTAATGGTTAATAATAAAATAACAGAACTTTATAGAATCTAGAAAGGGTTACTGGTGTTTTTTTAGTCTTTATTTAGTTTATTATTCTTATCAGAAAAATCACTTAAAGTAAAAACGCCTTTTTTCTTTAGGGGGAGAAATTTTTTCGCACTTGGCCGTAATTTGGGGGCAGCCTGAAAATCGACTCTCTTTTAAATGAAAAGAAAGCAACATAGGATATCAAGAACGGATTCTGACCTACTAATCAAATTAGATAACAAGAGAAGTCGCCAAAGATAATGATATTTATTAAAATTGAAGTTGCGAAACATTATAAGCTCTCATTTGAAGAAAAGATGAGAAAGATCTGTCACCATCTGAAGGAAGGGAAAAAAAGCATCTATAGTTTTAGCATCAAAACGGAACAACAAGCAACTTGTAATGATTTTGTTTCTTTACTTACCAAAATTGAACAACTTGGATCGCATGAATCCTCTTGAGAAAAGCGCACGGATTTTCCTAAGGTAAACAATAAGACAAACACGTAAAACAACAACACAAAACAACTACTCATGGTCGGCCATATTTGTGGTCACATGACCCAGCACTTAGACAGAGGACAACAGATAGCAACTGGCTGACGTTCGGCCCAAATATGCACAGTTACAACTACGAAGGCCCTCAATTACAACAATCCTTCTTTATTTTTTCTTTTCTTTCATTCTTCCTTTTCGTTCTCCATTCCTTCCTTCCTCTCTTCCTTTTCTTTCTCTTTCTCTCACTCACTCTTTCTTTATTCCTTGTCTTTCTTTTTTCTTTCTATCTATATTTTTTAATCGGTTTAAAAAAAGTATAAAATTTTGTGCTTGATAAATGAAATATACACACTTTTTTATGAACAAAGAAATATAAATATCGTTGAATGAAAAAAAAAAAACAACTATCGATCAGCGTCGGCGGTTTAAATAAATTTTATTTTTGACTTGGCGTAAGATAAATTCACTGAATCAATAATACTGACACTACACAGGAAGAACCATCAAGTTTCTTCTAGATAATCTACTAACATTTTTTTTTTTTTAGTTATTTATCATACTTTCTTTTTATTTAGTTAGTTATTTATCATACTTTTTTTTTTTTTTTTTTTTTTAGTATCAACGGTAATTGAATTGATTGAATCATTCACTTGACCCGGAAGAATTCTGATCTAGTTTAAAAAATATTACTTCACATAAGTTGACCATAGACACTCACAAACGTTAACTTAGTGCAATGGAAGGGTGTCACTTTAATGAAAAATTGCATCCGGTGACAGGTGAGTAAAGCCAATACCAGCCAGTAACCATGTACATTGTACACATTTTTTTTTAACAATGCTGCTGATTAACCATACTCGTGCAGAAAAAAATATCCAATGGCTTGATTTATGCTAAACACTCATCCCGACTATTCAAAATAAAATTTCAAATGTAGAGATCTCAAAATTGTTGTAATTGTATATGAATACGTACCAGCAAAGACGCGCTTAGAATACAAATGTTTTCATCCCATGGAACAGAATACAAGTGAAGTAATTATTAATTTATTAGTTTCACAAATCAGAACAGTGGGGATTTTCCCTTATATCAATTCATTGAATTTTAAGCGCACAATAAAAACAAGACTCACTGAAAAATGAAAACTAAAGTAAAAGAAAAAACAGATAAAATTTTCTTATTTGCAATCATTTCTGTGGAGAGACTTACTCAGTCAAAAAGTGCATAATTAGAATTAATCTAGGCAATGAAAAAGCTTTATGATAAAGTAGGAATTGTTTTAGCGTTTTGATTTGACTGGGGTCGGTAGGTCAACGTATTCAAACCGTCAATAAGAAATACTGGGTGAAAGTCGTTACGGTAAATTTGTTGAAGCTGGTATAGATTTGTAAAATGATGGTAACACTAACAATAAGTTGTTTTATATAATAGAGTAAAACTTGCTGTGTTTGTTACACATGTAAAAAATTGCCTGCATTAAGTTTCGTTTGTTGCCGAGAGTCATTGGCCGGTCACGTGGTATCTCGGAGTCTTTTTCTCTTTAGTACTGAAAATGTTAATTGATCCACTTGACACTATCTGTTCTGACTTCACTCTTAGTTATCGAGAATGAACAGCAATTTAACCAGCCGATGACCTTGCTTATATTTGCATTAGCAATCTCACGAAGCTATCTTTTCAAAATTATCGCAGGTTTCTAATTGAATTAGAAACCTGCGATAATTGATGGACAAATTCAGAGGATGAGTTTTCTTCACGGTCCTTTCTTTCAGGTACATTCCTTGAGTCAGACACAGCATCGCCATAATCAAGATAAGGACAAGAAGACTTATAAAAAAAATCCTATTGGTTGATAATGTTTCCTCTCTACTTAGTATAAATTTATAGCAGCGTAGGTGTTTACTAGTCATTGTCATAATAATTCATATAGTAAATGAGGTTATCGTTCGAGTTTTAAGAAAATTTAAAACTGCAATTTATACACATAATTAAAACATATATTTTGTATGCAAAATTATGGGTAAGTCGATGTTTGTGGATAGATCATTGATAGCGGTACGGAATGAGAAATATTCATTTCATTTGAAATGTGATACGACATGTGATACGAGAAAAGAAAATGAATATATATTTTCTTTCTTCCTAAGAGAAAAGGATATAGAAGCATGAAATTTTAATTGTTAGTGTGTCTTTTAAGACCACTAGACACTTCGTATCATTTTTTTTATTTTATTTTTTTATTTTTTATTTTTTTTTGACGGGGGAGAGAAAGAGTTTCTTGCTGGCATTTTTATAGTTGACTGACGGCGACTTCTTGCAAAGTTTCGTATTTATCTCTTTTCCTAGAGATAAAACCTTGAAGTTTTTATTTTAAATATATTCTGGTGATATCTCTTTTTACGACGTCCGTAAATTTTAAATCTTATTCTCGATTTAATTTTTAACGGATTTTTTTTTATGGCGTCTTCATGATTTTTTTTTATGGCGTCTGAATTTTGATAGATGCTGATTCTTTTTTTCGTGCCGTTATTTGCCATACTTCTGAAACTTTGACACGCTAGATATTTTAATAAATTTTGCATTTTATTATAAATTCTTCGTTGTCAAAGGAAAGTATTTTATCGCGTCACAAATATAGGAATTATTCTTTTAAATGCTAAAGTTTTGAATGTTTTCGCAATGGTCAGTTCTAGAGCTTTCTTTCATCAGTCGATTTTGAGATATGAGTTTTCTGAAATAGTCGTTTACTGGTATATATATATATATATATATATATATATATAATTATTTATTTTATAAAAATTATAACGTGCTATAAATCACTACAAAAATAGCTATTTTGTTTCAACACCTCTGGTGTCTTATCAAGTGATGATGTTGAATGTAGAATAAAGGTTTTAAAAGGTTCAAATTAATTAACTACCCCTTGTAAGGGGAAACACTGTTACGTGAGCTGAAATAACCAATCAAAAAAAGAAGTATATATATTACTTTTAAGAATAGTAATTGTTGGTTATTGGAATTTATTCCGTATACACCAATCATATACTTGGGTATATATATATATATATATATATATATATATATGTGTGTATATGTGTGTGTGTGTGTGTGTGTGTGTGTGTGTGTGTGTGTGTGTGTTCTCTTTTTAGATTTTGCATTACTTAGTGTATTGAGCACTTATACGTTTTTACTTAATTAGCTTTGTCAGTGTTTTTTCTTTTGACGAAGCATTGCGGTGCTAATTGATTATTTTCGACCAACATGGATGGCTTTAGTCTTTCCTTTTTTTTTACTGATTTTTTTCCCTGGTATTGTGGGGTAGCTAATGATGTTGGTTAGAAAAGGATCAGAAGGGTTTTTGATCAAGTTTGCGTTTTTACATTAACATTCCACATTAAATTTGTAAAGAAAACACAAAAAGGAATGACGAGAGATCAATGAAAATCAACAAGCAAAACATGTATTGAAACAAGTATATACATATAATTCCGTTAATGACAATAAAGATTAAGTAACACGAAGTGGTTTCCATTCTATTGTGTGAAGAACAAATGTATGTTGTAATAATGTCTTTTGATGTTTGAGTTTGAAAGTTGAAATATTTGTGCAGAAGAATGATATAGTTTCGAAAAGTTCACTTGCCTTGAAAACAGACAGTTCACTGTGTCGTGTGAGTGTAGTTTATGTCTTTGTGTGTTTGTGAGTAGAAAATTGAAAATACACGTACGTGAAAATGATTCACACGTGATTGTGAAAATGTATAGTTATTTTCCAAGCGTAGCTTAGATGTGGCACAAGGCCGAAAGTATGGGGCATCAAGTTAGGATCGAACTCACTTTTTCAGTTGTAACTCATCTAGCGAGACAAGCTTGCTAACCATTACACCACGCCGAATTTCTGCTTTTTATAGATGTAAGGTGGCACCAGGAACGAGCGCGGGAAGGATATTGATTTTTATGTGGCTCGTGCGATGCGTAAATTGTCTGTACAAAAGGTATAGTTTATCCCCCCCCAATTACTGTTGAGTAATTTGTGGGCGTGGTGTATGCAGGCGCCCACTACAGTATCAGTTTGTTCAAATATACTTTTATTTACAAATTGTATTATCCAGGTTTTTTCACACCGCCAGAGTATAAGTTTCAATATTAAAATAATAATAATAATAATATATATATATATATATATATATATATATATATATATATATATATATATATATATATATGATGACAAACGTGACCACGCTCAAACGGAAAGCTGATCATTTAAAATTTTCATTTATCTGTTTTGGATAAGACTTGTTTTTATGTCCATCGTTTTCGTCGTGTTATACTGATTATGTTAATTGTATTTTTAATGAATATTGTCCTGAAGAAGGTTATTAAACCGAAACGTCAGACGTCGACATTTCATTCATATTAAAACAACATAATCGCATTTTAAGGATTTTTGTTTTGTTTTTCCAGATATTTTCTTCATTCTGTCGGATTTATATCCATTTATATTTGCTTATCATATATATATATATATATATATATATATATATATATGGGTGTTGAAATTGTGTTAAATTTAATATAAAAATTATTTTTAAAATAATAGATAATATTGAATATAATGAAAAACTAATTAAAAGAAATAGAATATTATTAACATGGTTTCTTTTTCAAAGAAACCGCCAAAATGAAGCCAGATGGTTTATTTAAAAACAATAATGGTGGAGTAATGGATAGTGGCTCGGATTGGCGAATCAGAGAGCCGAGTTCGAATTCCATTCGAATCCATTACATTCACTTACGTGCTAATGCCCTTGGGAAAGGTATGAATCCTCTTCTCCCTCCAGCTATGGGTAAATAGTAAAACCGATCGGGTTCTATAGCCTTGAATGGCAACAGATCTACCAGCAGAAAGAAATGGCAACCTACCACGGGAAAAAATCTGCCTCGTCAGTCATGTATCGAAAGATACATGACTGACGAAGATACATGATCACGCATGGCACATAACTGACTGAAAGATTTGAAAAAGGCTCCAAATTGATGTTGTAAAATATTCGTCAAATTGAAGCTACATGAGGAGTTTCTAAGCGCAACTTAGACGTGGAACAAGACCGAAAGTATAAGACACCCTGTGAGAATCGAACTCACTACTCAGTCATAATTGGTCTAGCAAGACAAGCTTGACAACCATTACACCATGTCGAGGTACCCAAATGAAGCTAGATGGTCTATTAAAAACAACTGCCCAAATGAAGCCAGACAGTTTAGACATTCTGAAAATGGACTCGACTTTGATGTTGTATAAAACCAGTTAAAATTAAATTGCAAACGGGCGCAGTTTGATTGGAAAGTCATTGTCGAGTTTTTAACTAATTGGGATAAAAATGTTATGCCACCAACATACAGAGTTGATTTTTGAGTCAATTGTTTGCTATATAAGATGGAAAATGTTCTAAGAAAATCAGAAAGAAATAAACCACCCCAAACGAGACAGCTGTGATCTAGGAAGAAAGGGCTGTATAGGCTGTGATCTGGGATGAGAAAAATCACTTCAAGCGAGAAATGATTCAACCACTCGAGCGAGAAGGCTGCGACTTGGGATCATAAAAGACTACTGCATTTACTACAACTACTGGTGAAAAAAAAGAGAATCTTCTCAATTTGATATTCAAATATCTTTCTAAACTTATGAATTTATACCATTCGAATGTATTTTCTAAACCTGTGAGAGTTTATCTCATATTTGAGAACGCTTGTTCCGAAACCCTGAATATTTTGTCTAAAGGTCACCTTTTCTCACCCCCTGCCCGTCAAACTTCGACATTTTTTATTTGTGAACTTTTCGTATTAAGTAAGTTTCTTTTGTTGCTAGGAAAGTGATTTATATAGACAGTTGCTTTAAAATAAACTTGTTAAAATCCTTTGTTGTTAAGTAAAATATTTTTTACATGAACTTTTGCTTTCTAAGAGAAAACAGATTTGTATT